AGAAATGTTGAAAAGAATTTGGATAGAAATATTTTGAGAACTACACACTTTTTCTTACAGCGAACAGCTTGGCCAAGCAGCACATTAAGTACTGAAAAAAAAAAACATGACATTGTCACATCATTGTGTGAATAATGTGCAACCTATTGGGTTCATTTGATAAAAATGCAAAGAGAAATAATGTTTTGTAATCCATAGAAATCAACAGCATCTCACCTTTAAGTAGCTTAGAATCAAAGTTGTTTAACTGGCTGACAGTTATGCTGACCCTTTGACTTCCATACTGTCTCAGTCAATGACCTAGAACAAATATGAAAAGTCCTTTGTACTTGTTCTGGGCCATTGAATCAAATTCCTAAAAAAAAGGTAATTATGATATTCCAGGAACAATTCAGCTTAGCAATGTCAGCCTCCATGTTTTCTTGCAGTAACTTTCCAACAAAATCTAGGTGTCTTATTGTTCCTTCTTTCCCATTAATTTTCTTTTGATAATAAAATAATTTTCTCTTTCTAATTATACAGCAGTGTTTTTATATACACTGCTCAAAAAACATAAAGATGCCCCATCGTTTGATGGAAAGGAAAATTATCAACCTACAGAGGACTGAATTCAAAGACATTCCGAACATCAAAGTGAAAAAATGATGCACGTGCTTGTATGCATGCTGGACAACATCGGGGTATGCTCCTAATGAGATGACAGATGGTGCCCTGGGGTAATTTCTCCCATATCTGCACCAGGGCATCACTGAGTTCCTGGACAGTCTGAGGTGCAACCTGGTGGCGTCAGATGAACTGAAACATGATATCCCAGAGGTGTTCTATTAGATTTAGGCGAGTGTGGGGGCTATTCAATGGTATCAATTCCTTCATCCTCCAGGAACTGCCTGCATTCTCTTGCCACTTGAGGCCAGGCATTGCCGTGCACCAGGAGATACCCAGGACCCACTGCACCAGCGTAGGGTCTGACAATGGGTCCAAGGATTCCATCCCGATACCTAATGGCAGTCAGGGTGCCATTGTCTAGCCTGTAGAGGTCTGTGCGTCCCTTCATGGATATGCCTCCCCAGACCATTACTGGCCCACCACCAAAACGGTCATGCTGAACAATGTTACAGGCAACATAATGTTCTCCACGGCCTCTCCAGACCCTTTCATGTCTGTCACATGTGCTCAGGGTGAACCTGCTCTTATCTGTGAAAAGCACAAGGCACCAATGGTGGACCTGCCAACTCTGGTGTTCAATGACAAATACCAATTGAACTCTATGGAGCACAGGGCCCACTAGAGGACATCGGGCCCTCAGGCCACCCTCATGAAGTCTGTTTCTGGTTGTTTGGTCAGAGACATTAACACCAGTGGCCTGCTGGAGGTAATTTTGTAGGGCTCTGGCAGTGCTCATCCTGTTCCTCCTTGCACAAAGGAGCAGATACCAGTCCTGCTGATGGGTTAAGGACCTTCTACTGCCCAGTCCAACTCTTCTAGAGTAACTGCCTGTCTCCTGGAATTTCCTCCATGCTCTTTAGACTGTGCTGGGAGACACAGCAAACCTTCTGGCAATGGCATATATTGATGAGCCATCCTGGAGGAGTTGGACTACCTGTGCAACCTGTGTAGGGTCCAAGTATCGCTTCATGCTACCAGTAGTGACACTGACCCTAGCCAAATGCAAAACCAGTGAAAAAACAGTCAGAAAAGATGAGTAGGGAAAAAAAAAAATGTCAGTGACCTCCACCTGTAAAACCATTCCTGTTTTGGGGGTCATCTCATTGTTGCCCATCTAGTGCACCTGTTGTTAATTTCATTAATCAGCTGAAACTGATTAACAACCCCCTCTGCTACTTAACTGACCAGATCAATATCCCAGGAGTTTAATTGACTTGATGCTATGCTCCAATTAAAAAGTGCTCCTTTCATTTTTTTGAGCAATGTACAATATTATACTTTATTTATGTCCAGTTTTATTCTGACTAGTGAATATTTTTTGTGTTATTTTTATATTTATTTATTACAGGTACTTATATAGCGCCATCAATTTACAGACTGCTTTACATATATATTGTACATTCACATCAGTCACATTAGTTAGTCTGTGTTTTATATCTATTATATTTTAATTTACAATAGATTCATGTCTGGATTTTATTTTTTATTTTGTTGGATGTGTATGTGCAACTCTCTATATTCAGATAACAACCAATAAGTAAAGAGAGAGATAACAGCCAAACTGTAGTTCATGTGGCAACAAAGTTGCACAAACATTAACTTATGATGAACTAGTCCATATTAAGATAGAGTAATATTTCCAGGTAAGTAACTATTAAAAGAAAACCTGTCAAGAGAGAAATACGGAGGCTGTCAATGCTGACTTCCATCTGAATGCTAGTTTCCTGGCTGTCATTCTGATCCACCAGCTTCAGTACAAATCACTGGCTTAGGATAAGTGCATCAAGAAAGTCAGCGAAAAGTCTTCATCAGTATACTTTTTGGTTTAGTAAATCAAAGGGCTTGATTGACTTAAATAAAAAGCACAAAAACAATGAGAAATTTCTATAAGGACTATAGTCATGCATGCTTTGTTGCTTCATATGAGTGCATGTATGTTTATACACTCAGGAAACACTGACCCAGTAAAGCATAGACTTGGTAGCTATGTGCTTTGCAGTAAATAAATAAATCAATGTTGCTGTTGCCCCTTGTATGTTTACTTACTTTGACCACTTTAAGTCCACCCTATAGCAGATTTATTGCTACAGGGCAGATGATCTGTGCAAAATCACGTATATAAACATAAATTTGCATTTCCGCCATAGGGAGTGCGTGCACCACTGGAGCACCTCTGCTGCTGTGACTGGACACAGCAGAAGCTGATGAACAGGATCAGCACCTGCACCCATTGATCGCCGAGGAGACTGTAAACAAGATCTGCTAGATCTGATAAAATCTAGCAGATTGCCTAGTAAAAACAGCACACAGTACACAAAAACACTGGCTAGGCACACATTTAACCCTTTGATTGCCCTAGATGTTTAACCCCCTCCCAACCAGTGTCATTAATATAGTGACAAGTGTATATTTTTAGCACTGATCCACTGTATTAGTGTCACTGGTTCCCACAGTGTCAGTCTGTCCACCGCAATATTGTAGTCCTGCTTTTAAGTCGATGATCGCTTCCATTACTAGTATAAAAAAAAAACTACCATAGTTTGTAGACACTATAACTTTTGCGCAAACCAATCCATATACACTTATTGGGATTTTTTTTTTTGTTACCAAAAATATGTAGCAGAGTACATTTTGGCCCAAATTTATGAAGAAATTTGATTTGTAATTTTTTTCTATTGGATATGTTTTATAGTAGAAATGTAAAAAGAAAAGGTTTTTTTTTTATTTAATTTCGGTCTTTTTTATAGTGCAAAAAATAAAAAAAAAAACCCAGATGTGATCAAATACCACCAAAAGAAAGCTCTACTTGTGGGAAAAAATGACATAAATTTCATTTATGTATAGCATTTCATGACCGCGCAATTGTCAGTTAAATTAATGCTGCACCGTATAGCAAAAAATGGCCTGGTCATGAAGGGGGGTAAATCTTTCCGGTCTGAAGTGGTTAAAAAGTCATAGGAGGCTGTGTTTTAGCCTTAATGATTATACTGCATTCAGGAATATGTGTTTGTCTGCTTAGTTATTGTGCATCTAAAATGCTCCTTAGAACAGTTAGTCTAATAAAAAAAATGACCAATTGTGTGAATTTTTTATATACAGTAGATTCTATATTTTAAAGTGGTTGTAAACTTCAGAGATGAAATATGAACAAAGTATATAGCTCTATAATGTGTACTTGTCGCAATTCAGAGCATTAAGTGTCATTTCTGTCTGCTGCTTCATTTCCTCTCCTATAAACATGAATCACTTCTGACAAGTTTTCCTGACACCAAGAGAAAAATGGTGACAGGTGAGTGATTGCCGGCAGATTGTCAGCCTCAGCTATCTTCCTGTGAGCTGTCCCTTCCTTCCAATCAGCACTCAGAGCTCTCCTCACTGAGCTCTGCAGAGTATAATTTCAACTCCTCGACCCTTTTTTTTTAACTCTCAGACAAGATTTATAAATGCAGCACTTTGAGTGGATGTACAGACCAGAAGACGACAGATAGACAGGTACAACTTATGTAGGAGGATTGGTTTCATCCCTGTGTATCATCTGAGGCCAGTCGTTGGGTATATGTAAAGGTTTACAACCACTTTAAGTTTTCAAAGTGAAGAAGCCCCAACTTGGGGAGCAGAAAGAGCGAGGAAACCCCAGTGTTTGGACAAGGGACTTTAAGGACAACAGGGAAAGTACTGAGGTAAAATATAACAAAGTTTTATTTTAGCACAATAAAATGTCACAAATTTCTCAGATTTCATAGAAATCACAACATAGTGGCTACACTGATACAAATGAAGGAACTTTAGCGGATGTGCAAAAGAACCTCCTCTTGTTATTTCACTGGACAGTCATCCATTGAAAACCCAACGCATTTCAGATAATAATCTTTCCTAAGGGGTATATAACAGAGGAGGACAACAAAAATTAACTCATCCTAGTTATATAGGAGTGTAACAAATATAGCCATAGTGCATATTAAAAACAGCCTGTCATAGTCACACCAACAACCCCAAAGTGTGATGGTATGGGAACCCCCAGCCAGCCAAGAGAGTGCCACACTGAGGTCGCCAATATACAATGACCTCAACCAAGCCAATTCTAAACCTGTAAAATCCCAGTGTGGAAAAAATCAGATCATGGTAATCTAAAGATGTTGAGTGGCAAGGGGGGGCAGTATTTATAGATATAACAGCATGGGGGAAATATTTAACCACCTTCCGCCCGCCATATAGTACAATGACGGGCGCAAGGTGGTTCTCTCTTTCTGATAGGATGTCATATGACGTCCTTCCATTCTCACCGCGCATGTGCGGCTCAGGGAGCGCGCAGCGTGGTGATCTCCGGTGCGCTGTGTCCCTCGGACATAGCGGATCACGGAAAGAGCCGAAGATGTCGGCTTGGTCATGTGATCAGCTGTGTCCAATCACAGCTGATCACATGTAAACATGGAAATGCCGGTTATCGGCATTTCTCTCTCCTCTCGAGCTGTCACGCTGACAGCTCGAGAGAGGAGAGGAGAGCCGGTAATCGGCTTTCCGTGAAGGGGACATGTACACTGAACATCAGGGCACTGATAATCAGTGTGCCCTGATGATCAGTGTGGCCCCAGAAGTGCCACCTGTCAGTGTCCATCAGTGCCAGCAGTCAGTACTCAGTGCCACGTGTCAGTGCCCATCAATGCCACATCAATGCCACATATCAGTGCCCATCTGAGCTGCCTTTCAATGTCACCCATCAGTGCCAGTCAGTGCCACCTATCAATGCCAATCAGTGCCACCTATCAGTGCTGCCAATCAGTGCCACCCATCAGTGCCAGTCAGTGTCGACTATCAGTGCGCATCAGTGCCGCCTATCAGTGCCAGTCAGTGCGCCTATCAGTGCCAGTCAGTGCCGCCTATCAGTGCCAGTCAGTGCCGCCTATCAGTGCCGCCTATCAGTGCCATATGTCAGTGTCATGTATCAGTGCTGCCTTTCAGTGCCCATCAGTGATGCCTGCCAATGCCCATCAGTGCAACCTACCAGTGCCTCCTCATCAGTGCCCATCAGTGCCACCTATCAGTGCAGCCTAGTAGTGCCCATCACTGCAGCCTCATTACTGCACATCAGTAAAGGAGAAAAATCACTTATTTACAAATTGTATAACAAAAACTAAGAAAAAACTTTTTTTTTTTTTAATTTTCAGTGGTTTTTGGTTTGTTTAAGAAAAAATAAAAATCCCAGAGGTGATTTAACAGCACCAAAAGAAATCTCTATCTGTCTCAAAAAAACGATAAAAATTTCATATGGGTACAGTGTTGCATGACCGCACAATTGTCATTCAACATGTAACAGCGCTGAAAGCTGGAAATTGGCCTGGGCAGGAAGGGGTATAAGTGCCCTGTAGGCTAGTGGTTAAAGATAACAAAGATAGGTAGTACAATATTGAAGTGCCAGTTTTGAGTTCATAACTTGCAAATGAGGCTATAACCCAGAGTTTTGTTAGAGACCTGTGATTAAATGTGTTTACTCAGGTTGTGTGCAGTTGCAAAAAGCCACAGGCCCTCTTCTGCCTTTTCATAGCTCTTCGAAGCAGGTGACAGAACAATCCATTTGAGGTGATGCAAAGCATTGGTCTTTAGTCATGACCCAATGCTTAATTAATCTCATAATTTTCCTATTTCTAGCGGTTGTTCCTTTTTCAGAGATACAGCTAATGATGCATCATGATTTATGGCTCATTGTAATAGGAGAACTTCAGCCGCACACTTTAGGACAGCTGGTGCACACATAACAGCAGAACACATGTTCCCTATTTTATTCACAAAAACTAATTTATATTGGATTTGTCTGTTTTTCTTAAAGATATGTATAAGTCAGAATCATAGCACAGTGATCTGTAAAAGGCATATGTATATTCCTCAAAACCTGTAGTCTATCCATAATTATTACAATACATTGTGTATCCTTCTGGAAAATTGTGCCATGTACAATGCAGTAAAAAAAAAAAAAACCACAGCAGGCGCTTACAAAAATAAATGCATACCTTAAGTTTTGTTATTAGAGTAAAGGATTCAGGGTTCTAGAGCATAGTTTTGTGACCTAACTAATAGTTCTACATAATTCAGCGACATCTACAAACATAAGACACCCACCATTAACGGTGATTTATTTTTACAAAGCAATACACCCTCTCTTCTCGCTCATTCATCTAATGTGACCCCATTGCTGATGGAAAGGAACAGGGGAGAGGCTAACAAGGATGTCCTCAGGCTGCTGATGTCCTTCTTACCAACCTATAACATCTTTGTTTTTAGAATGCCAGCAGTTTACCTGCACTGTGCCCAAGGTTGTCATTTTGCACAATAACTGGCTTTGTATAACAAAAAAAGTCAGGCTTGATTAAAGTTTTAGGCATTTTATATAAGGCCCCTCTGCAAAAACCAAGAAGGCACCCTGGCTGAAAAAGCTGTTTTAGAGCACTGGGCTGACTTCTCATTGGGTAAAACCTATATACTTGATGGTATGGCTGCCTCTAATTGGAAGGGGTCTGTTGTACTAGGGGAAGGGTCTATGGCAGAGGTCTCTAAACTGCAGCCCTTCGTTTGCCTTTATGTGGATCAAGGGGCACTGTTCCTTCTACTGACACCAAGGACAGAGTACTATTCTTCCCACTGACACTGATGATGTAATTTTTTACCTTCCACTGACCCCCCAAGCCTATGGCATTTTCTACTCCTACAGGCTATAGTCTGGCCTCCCTAAAAATTGAAGGACAGTAAATTTGCCCTTTGTTTCAAACGTTTGGAGATCCCTGGTCTATGAGTAAGTTGGGGAAATATTTAAACGAAGATGTAGTGCAGGGAGGGCATGTTAGAAATTAATAGGGCAAATAGGTAAAACAGGGGTCAGACAATAATTAAAATACTAAAGGGTAAAAAGGAAGAAGATGGAAGAGGTTTAGGGTAGATAACAAAGATGTCCCATGTTACAAACACAAACAGCAGAGAAAGCTGTTAAGAGGGCCAGAGGACATTGCTTTGGGGGACACAGAATATGAAAGAGAGATCGGCTGACCAGAAAACTGGCCTCTGAAGGCACGGGAACCATGGAGGTATCTGAAGTAATAATGCTGGGGCAGATTGAACGTAGCTTGGAGAGTGGAAAAGAGAAACAGCTCACCAAGACCCGTAATGTGCTCCAAAGTTTTTATTTTGTATTTAGCCGAATGTTGGGGGTCTGGGATCATAGCAAAATGGGAAAGAGAGGGATTTTGCCACAGTGGAGATTGCGAGGACGAGGTGCTAGAGAGAAGAGAATTCAGTCTAAGTCCAGCCCCCCAGGCCCAAAGGGTGGTACGCATAGATGGTGTGAGACTATGGGGTGATTTTGGTCCCCTGAACACTAGTGATTGAATGACTGTAAAATCACCACTTCCAGGACAATAGAGGTGTCACGGGTGCCCTGCCGTCCCTTCACCCTCCCCCCATCCCCCCTTGCCTCGTCCTCTCATCCTACACGCAGCCACTGAAGTGAGGCTGTGCAGGATGGGGGGAGGGGACCCCTGCGGCGAGGATCACAGCTCATCCGGCAATCTAGGCGGAGGAGCTGTGACTCCCCGCCAGGAGACCCCAGTGGCAGACCGCCAAGATGTCTCTGCGAGCCCCGGCAGACGCAGCACGGACACAGGGGCTTCTTGTGCTCTGCGCCCAACAGTGACAAAGGCCACGCTCACGAGAGCACAGCCCGAGTCAAGGGGGCGTGCCTTGTTGCCCCAGCAACGCGGAACTGGGCCGGCCATTGCCGGGGCAACCCGGAAGCGTCATGGGCCGGTTTAAAAGGCCGGCGTGGGAGCCGGCCAGTCTCTTCCTCCTGTGCTGTCTGCCGCAGCTGTTCCGTTGGGAGGTCCGGGTGGGGACCAGGCCTCCGCAGCCATCCCCGCTGAGCACTCTGCAGGAGACCCCCCTCCTCAAAGGTCAGATCCTACAGCCAAGACTCCCGCTGCTGTCCCTGGCAAGCTGGCCGCTGTGAGGGCCCCTGCCTGCTAATCGCTGCTGTCCCTGGAAAAGCTGTCCGCTGTGAGGGCCCCTGCCTGCTAATCGCTGCTGTCCCTGAATAGCTGGCCACTGTGAGGGCCACTGTCCGTTGCTGAGTGTCCCTGGAAGCTGACCACTGTGAGTGTCCCTGCACACTGCCTGCTACTGAGTGTCTCTGCACGCTGACTGCTGCTGCGTGTCCCTGGAAGCTGTCCGTTGCCGAGTGTCCCTGGAAGCTGACCGCTGGGAGTGTCCCTGGAAGCTGTCCATTGCTGAGTGTCCCTACATGCTGCCTGCTGCTGAGTGTCTGCAAGCCGCCTACCGTGAGTGTCCCTACAAGCCACATGTTGCGGAGTGCCCTGGACTGTCCCTATTGTGTGCCCAGACCACCCTTGTCATGAACTGCCCCTATTGTGCACTCAGACTACCCTTGTTTGAACTGCCCCATGGCGTGCCCAGAGTATAGCTACCTGGACTGCCCCCCTGAGTGCTTGAGTCCCTGTGAGGCTGCTGTTGTCCCTAGAAAGCTGTGTGGGAGCTGTGCTGAGGTCAAGCCCCACAGCCAAAGTCCCGCTGAGAACCTGTGAGGCTGCTGTTGTCCCTAGAAAGCTGTGTGGGGGCTGCACTGAGGTCAGGCCCCACAGCCAAAGTCCCGTCGAGTCCCCATGAGGCTGATGTTGTCCCTAGTAAGCTGTGTGGGAGCTGTGCTGAGACCAGACTCCACAGCCAAGGTCCTGTTGAATCCCCGTGGGCTTGATGTTCCCAGTTCTGACGAAGTCTGCGGTGATTGGCGGACGAAACGCGTCAACGTATTGACGTCACTACGCTCGGCGTCTTCACAGGGTGCGGCGCCCACGAGGCGGGAAGGAACGGCGGTGTCACAGCTCCCTGTTAGGTAGGCCCAAGACCCTCTGAGAACTACCAGTGGGCTACTATCACAGCGGTTCGCAAACGGCAATCCCTCAGGGAAACATATCTTCCACCGGTGGCAAGTTATTTAAAAGCTTACGGCTGTTGAGATGTATAGAGCCTACATGGCGTTAATAGGGCATGCTTTATGGGCCTAATTTACCCTGTATACTCGGGGAATTTTTTGGAATTCCTCTCAGGAGGAGAATCTACATATATATATATATATACGCTATCCTACTCAGGTATTTTTTGCTGTGACATAGCCACATCCTTATAAAACCGCAAATAACCTTCTCAAATTGAGCAATTTTTGGAAACCCTTTATTGGGTATATTAAACTCAGGTATCTACGGCCTGCTATATGCTATATACACATTATATGTGCTTGAAATCCACGCATCGTGTATACCTGGTCCCTCACCCCCATATGCATCTTTGAAAAAGCATCAAGGACCTGATCTTAGTTCAAGTCGACAAGAGTCTTCTTGATCCTCATTGATGGTAATATATCCACATTTTTATATATGTTTTGTTTTCGGGGTACCTGATGCCCAAGATCTACACATTTAATTTTTTCTATGTATATCCTCAGAATCATTTGGTACTGTGGACCTTGTTCCATTTGGGGTGGCTATCCAGGAAGTCCCTACACTTGAGAGGCGGGTATGATAGTTTCACCTTTGAGAAGGTAACAGCAGTATCCATTGACTATTGTGGAGGGAGGTCTGGTTAATTTTGGATGTGATTTGGTCTCCATATTGCTAGATACATACCATGTATTTTTGTGTTCCAGCTTGTACATTCCAGGAGGTCCCTGATATACACTGGGAACACACCCACTGAATACACGGCTCACACAAATATTAAGCAGGAAACCTACGGAAATCCAGGATAATTATTTTCATCATTACACCACTCTG